GGGGCCCGCCGGCGGCGGGACGGCCGCGGCGCCGCTGGCGGGCGCCGCCTCGTCGCCGCCCCAGCTGCGGGTGCGCGCCATGATGTTGGCAGCCGCAGCTGCTGATCTGTTGCTTCTCCCTTACAAGGCTGGGATGGGAGCTGCGTCTAGTTTCTGTCGGACCGTAGTGCGAGCCGGGCGGGCGGGTTCTGGTGTGTGAACTGCACTCCTGTTGGATGGCAGGTGGGCAGCTGCGCGTTTGCCGAAAGCAACGTTGATTGATTGTGGCTGCGGTGTGCGTTGAGGATGTGGAACAACGTCGTAAAGAAGTATGATCGTGTCGCTTCGAGGAAGGGACTTTCGCCGGTGGCTACCCCGTGGAGCGCTCGTCGGGTGTGACGGCCTGGTCACCCATACGAACCTCTCATTCTTGCGGACGTTGTGGGAACGGGTGTGATTGAAACGACCGTGGTGCTAAGGGTTATACCTCTGGCCGTCGCAGTGACCTGCCGTGCGCTGCGCTGCAATTTCTGCAAGTACCAACCTGGTGGCACCTGCGCGAGCAACTGCCTCCACCTTCCAACAGAGCCCCCCATCCCCTGGCCGCATGGCGGGACCCGCAAGCCAGCTCCCTTCTTTGATCGTATCAGCAGGAGCGTCGTTTTGAAAAATTTAGTCGTGCCGAGTCATGCAGTACGTGTGCCCCACCCCCCACTTTCATGGCATGGAGAGAGGAGGGTTGGTGCAGGCGCGCACAACAGGGCAGGCAAACCTGGGGGTCCCAGCTGCTGTCGGTTGATGAGTAAGGCGTGGGAGACGGACAGCCGGCCCCGGCTCGCTCGACTGTGCGACGCTACCGGCCCACCCAGCCCGCAAGGTTCAACAGCCCCTTACTTAGTGCCCCTTTGGCCCCACACACATTCCACCAGGCAGCCCCTCCCCACACTGCCGGGCCCCACCCTGGCACAACACACCCGGCCTCATTTCCTACACAACAGCCTGTGCACCAGGTTACACCGCGCCACGGCGCCGCAGGGCGCCGAGCCGCGCGCAAAAGCGCCGGGCGACTGGCCCGGCGAGGGGGGCGGGGACGGGCCGCCTAGAAGCTACTGAGACACCATCACTGCAGCTGGGGCAGCAGGGTGCGACGTGTGCGTGTTTTTGTGGCGACGCTAGGGTGCGGTGCGCTTGTGATGCGCACGGGCCCGCGCACAGCTTTCGCCGCCTGGCCGCCCCGCCCGGGGGTGCGGCCGCGAGGCAGCGGGGCGGGCCGGGGGCGAGCCGCAGAGATCGCCCCAGCGCTCGCGCCCGCGCCAAAGTCTTTCGAAAAAAGGTCCGGCCGGTGTCGAAATGAGGTCACTTGGGTCAAGCAGCCGGACGCGGGCCGGCGCGAGCCGTGCGGGTTGCCCCGGGGGTATGCGTCCCGCTGGACGGGTGCAGGGCCACAGGGGCGCGGTGGCAAAGGCCTTCAGCCCAACAGCGTGTCGACGGGGCAGCTTCTAGGTTGCCAAGCGAGCGCGCATCATGCAGCACGCACCAGGCGAGGCCGAAAAACGGGCGAGGCAGCTGCGTGCGTCCGCACGGCCCCGCTCGAGCCGCCTTGTGGCACGGCAGGGCGCGTCGCACACGCGCGGGCGGCTGCGCCTCGCGCGTGCGCGAGCCTGCCGCGCAGCCGACGCCCTGGCCAGCAGGCACATGGCCCCAAAAGGCCGCTTGCCGGCGCCGCAAAGACCAGCAACGGCCGCACGCGCTGCGTCGCGTCCTAGATATGCCTCTGGCGGCGTTGCTAGGCCACTGCTGCCTTGATGGCCGCCGGCACGACCGCCGGGATGCACGCAAGTGCGGCGGCTTCCTTGGGGCCGACCAGCAGCTTCTCGTCAGCTACCACCACCCCCGACCCCCAGCTCCCCGCCACGCTGCTCGCGCGGCTTGTCTCCGCGCTGACGCTCCCGCTGCTGCTGCTGCAGCTGCTGCCGCCGTCCCCCGCGCCGCCGCCGCCGCTGCAGCTGCTGCTGGCCCCGTCACTGCTGCGCCGGCTCGCCGGGCCCGCCGCCGCCGTCGCCGCGACGACGCCCTTGCCCGCGTGCGGCCGCCCGCCCGCCAGCAGCCCGTCTGGGATCAGCCGCAGCCTGAACCCGCCCTTCGCCCACCGCCGCCACGCGCCCCGCAGCCCGCCGCCGCCGCCGCCCTTGTTCGCGTAGTCCAGTCCGGCGGCCCGGACTAAGTCCCGGATCGCGTCGAGCGCGTAGTCCAGGTCTTCCCGAGTGTGGCTGGCGCTGATGCACACGCGGCAGCGGCAGAGCAGCAGGGGGGTCGCGGGGAATCCCACCACCACCATGGCGATGTGGCGGGAGTAGAGCATGCGGGAGAGGGTGGCGAGTAGGCCGATGTGGTATACCATGATGGGGATCACGGGGGAGTCCCAGTCGCCCAGCACGTGGAGGCCCATGTCGAGCAGCTGTTGCCTGGGATGCAGGGGGGGGAGAGGGAAGGAGCATGTGTGTGTGTGTGTGTGTGTGTGTTGTGCTGTGTGTGTTGTGCTGTTGTGTGTATGTTGTGAGGTGTGTAGGACAGAGACGGTGCGTGAGTGTGCAAGTTCCCTCAGGAGGACGATTGCAGGACAACAGGTGCGTTGGCCCCGGCGGCCTACCCCGCGACGCCCCCACCTGACGTAATTCGAATTGTCGTGCAGCTGCTTAATCTTGGCCGCGCCCCGCTCGCTGCCGTCGTCGCCCCGGATCAGCTTCAGGGCGCTGATGATCTGCGGGGGGGATGAGGTCACAGGCAGGGGATGAGGTTAGCCAGCCGCAGTCAGCGCAAGCAGGCACCTCTCCCACTACAGCAGCCCGCCGCACCGCCCCGCCCCGCCGCGCGAACATGCGCTGTGCTTCCCCCCAGAGCAAAAGCCGTCCCCGCTGTTCTCCCACCCCTCAGCCCGGCCGCAGCAGCGGCGCCGGTCGCCCTGGGCATGTCCCTGCAGACCCGGACTATGCGCACGCGTGCACGCACCTGCTTCGCCGCGCCCGGCGCGATCGACGCCGCGTACAGGTGCGCGGGGCTGTGCCGCCGCAGGAAGTCGACCAGGCGCTTGCTGCCCGCCACGTAGCCGCCGGCGCTGCCGAACGACTTGGTGAAGGTGCCCATGAGCACGTCCACATCCCGGGGGTCCACGCCGGCGTGCTCGCACAGGCCCCTGGAGGATTTAGCGTGGAAAGGTGTGTGTGGTGGGTTTGTGTGTGTTCTGCGTGTGTGTTGTGTGTGTCTGTGGTGTGTCTGTGGTGTGTCTGTGGTGTGTCTGTGGTGTGAAAGTGTGTTTTTGGGGGGGTGGGGTGGTTGAGACACTCGTGAGGCGAGGGGGAGGGGAGACAGGGTGGCCTGCGGCATGCGACCATCATCTCACACCCCACAGGGGCGCACACACGCAAACACTCTCGTTCGCACCCAGGTAATCGTCCGCACGTACCGTATTCGCGAACACACACACACACACACGCACACTTCACAGCGCATGCCCCCCCTTCTCTCTCTCACACACACACACACACACATGCACACGCGCGCACCTGCCCGTGGCGCCCATGGCCCCAATGCTGTGGGCCTCATCCAGGTACAGGTAGGCCCCGTACTTCTTCTTGAGTGCCACGATGGCCGCCAGGGGGGTGGCCTCCCCCTCCATGGAGTAGATGCCCTCCACGATGATTATGATCTGGGGGTGAGTGTTTTTGTGATTGCGTGATTGTGAGCGTGTGTTGTTGTGATTGTGTGTATGTGTTGTGCTGTGTGTGTGTGTGTGTGTGTGTGTGTGTGTGTGTGTGTGTGTGTGTGTGTGTGTGTGTGTGTGTGTGTGCGAGTCTGCGCAGAAGTATTCGTGCGCGCGTGCAGCCACGCACTGGCAGAGTGCATGGTGACACCCGCAGCAGCCGCAGCAGCAGCCGCAGCAGCCGTGGCCGCCGCCGCAGCAGCAGCAGCCGTGCTGCCGCCGCCGCAGCAGCAGCAGCTGTGCTGCCGCCGCCGCAGCATCCCAAGGCCCTGCCTCCACCCCAGGCACTGCAGCGACCGGCAACACGCGCACCTTCTTCCACGGCCGGTGCGTGCGCGGCTGCCCCTCAGCAATGTGGAAGCGCAGCAGGCTCTCCAGGTGCCGCACGTTGTTGTGGCGGAACACCTTGACCGCCGCGCCCCCCGCCTTGACGCCGGCCACGATGGACGTGTGGTTCAGCGCGTCAGACAGCACCAGCGTGCCGCGGTCTGCAGTGGGGGTGGGGGCGCGCGAGGACACGTGAGCTCGGACGCCTGGCGGGGCGCACGCCCTCCACTGCGAGCTTGGGCACGCAGCTTGCCAGCCTCCCTGCCGCCGAGACGACCCCAACAGCGAGATTAACAGACGGCGAGGGGCGGGAGCCGCAGCGTGCTGCGGGACCCACCGCACAGCGCCGGGATGCTCGCGCTGTTGGTTGCGAAGCCCATGCCATAGGTGATCGCGTCCTCCACCCCCAGGAATTCCGCCACTAGCTCCTCCAGCTCCTGGTGCAGCGGCGTGGTGCCGCCCTCTGCGCGGCTGCTGCACGTGCTAATCCCCCACTGCCCCATCGTCTCGATGACGCGCGGCGTGCAGTACTCATCCGCGGCGGCAAAGCCGAGGTAGTTGTATGAGCCGAGGTTCAGGCAGCGCTGCAGCTTGCCGGTGAAACCCAGCTTGCGCGTGCTGCGGCGGCAAGGGCAAGGGCATGCGCAGTGAGCGGGCCGTGGGGGGAGCGGGGCGCATTTGAGCCCTGCTGGATAGCGGGCTCCCAGCTGCTCCCGAATACCTCAGCGGCTGGCAGCAGCCGGCAGCGTGCGGCGCCTGGCAGACCGCCGTGCAAGCAGGTGGCCCGCCCGCCGCTGCCGAGCTGCGGCGGGCTGCCGCCACTGCGAAATGCTCGACATCACAACTCATCGCGACTCACGATTTGTACTTGCCGGCGATGTCCTCCCGGTCCATCACATCAATCCATGCCCCAGGGGCGCTGGCAATGGGGCGGTTCCAGCAGTCCTGGATCCGGCAGCAGAGGCGCATGCGTCGAGCGCGCGCACGCGTCAGGAGCGAGTGCACCCCTGACTAGCAGCTGAAGAAAGCAACGCTACTGCTGTTGCTGTTGCTGCTGCTGCGACACGTGCGGTACTACCAAATCCGCAAAAACCGCTCCTTCTCCCGCTCCTGTCGCCACAGCCCCGCTCCTATCGCCACAGCTCCGCTGCTGCAGCTTTCGCTCCCGCTCCTGCTGGCGCCCCAGCCGCCCCAGCCAGATTCGAAAACAGCAGCCACCCACATGGATGCGTCCGTACAGGCGGCGGTTGTAAAAGTCCTGCTGCGGGTCACAGACCTCCGCAAAACCCTGCGAAGCGCCGAAGCGGCACCCGGGCCGCAATCGTCAGCTGAAACCGGGCGCGCGCCGCGCCGCCAACCCGCCAGGTGGCGGGTGCAGGACACAAGCATGTATGTACAGGCTCGCCTCCTGCTTGTGGAAAATCGGCTCTGGTAGGGCTGCCGCAGATTCGCGGAGCGCTGCAGCCGCAGGCCGGGCGACCCTCCGGGCCATGGATGCCCGTGGCAAGGAGGGGCGGGGTTAGTCCGCCCCCCAGAGGTCGCAAGCCACAGCTGGTGACCTACCTTGCGGGTCTTCGGCCGGGTCCAAAAAAGGTCCCTTATCCGACCAGTAAATGCCAGCAGCGACAGCCTGGCGGGGTCCGATGGGCACCGGGGGCTGGCGTGTGGGCGCGGCGCATCGCGGGCATGCTCGAGCGCGATGCGGAGCTGCCCATGGTGCCGGCCGCCGCTGGGGGTCTGTCTATGGCAGCCCCGCAGAAGTGATTGCCAATAATCATCCTCTCACGTCAGAGTGCACAGGAAGTTGGTCCACCACTCGGCTTTGGGGTGCACCGGGCCCTCGCTCGGGACGGCCCCCATGACGCCGACGACCGTGGCCGCTTCAGCTGCTAGATTACAAAAAATGTATACAAAACACTTTTGAGATGAGAGGGATGCCTTCTGGCGGGCAACACCGTGCCAGCGAGAACGGAATTGGCGCTGCTCAAGACAAACAGGTCATAGGCGTCGTTGAAATACCGCGGGGACGGACGGATGTGATGAACGTCGTTAGAAACGTTTGCCGGCCCCACCAGTCTGAGCGTCGCGCTGCGTCGACAGCCAGCTGGCACACTGGGGCAGTGCTGTTGTTGCGCTGGTGCCGGTGGTGCCGGGCAAGCCCCATGAGGTTCGTCGTCCAGCGACCAACTTTTTGCCTGAAACATCACTCATGGCATCTCATAGCCTTCCATTGCATTGACTTTCAATGGTATGGTGGCCTGGGCCCCTCGGCGCGACTAAACGATGATCAATGATCAACAATAGCAATGTGCCCGCCTGCCGTGCTGTTTGACCACACTCATGGCACCAGCCTGCCTGCCTGGTTCATACTTGACCCTGTGTGGCCGCGGTACACGAGCGCTGATGCAGCTGTGGCTGCTGCTGCCAGGTGTCGCTGTTCACCGCCCCACAGGCGAAGGCATTGCAAAGTTCTGGGCCCCACCGCCTGTCTGCCCTGGCCCTGCTCGTAGCCTGCTCTGAACGGAGCGCTTCCGCCTCAGATTGCATGGCCCCCACTGGCCAGCCACCTTTGCATGGCCCTGCCTATTCTGAAATGCTTGCCCGCAGGCCAACAAAACCCCGCGAAACACTGGCAGGCGGGAGGGCCACGGGGACAGCATCATGCCCGTTGAGGCTGGAACCCTGTTGCGATTGCAACCCATCACAAACCGTGCAATCAAGGGCTCAACGCAATCGAGACGCAAAGGCCGCCTGGGTGGCCATTGGGCCCGCCAGCGCCGGCGGGCCCATTGCCGAGGGTGTGAAAGCGGATGGATTGCGACAATTTTGAAGCAGCGTGTCCATCGACAACAGCGTGAGTGTGTCGACACTAACATGGTTATCAGCGGAATTGCAGCAAGCAGTAGGCTGCTGATGGGGGCATTCGTTTTGTGGCACCCGACGCTGCCGGTCGCTTGGTGCGCCATGGGGGGGCCTGGCACGACCTGGGAAAGATCGGCTAGCATGGATCATATTGAAGATATTCAGACAGAATGTGATGGTGACACTTGAGCTTAGATACGATTCGAGACGACGCGGTCGTTTTCCCTCCACCGCTGTCCTCAAAATAACCGGCACCACCTGTCAATGGCGGTGTTGACGCAAGTAGATTACCATATGTGCGCTTCATAAATTTAAACGTCTAGACTGTTGGGTGCGGGTGCTACAGTATGCAGTGATCATGCCAATTTGCTTTGCTCACGCTGCCAAACCCGGCGCGGCCTCGGGCCTGTGTGGTGACGCTGATCCATCAGGCGAGCCGGATTTGTGACCCGATGACGCCAACCTTGGCAGGCAAGGCAGCCAAGAAGCGCGCACTGACTAGCGCCTGGTAGTGGCACCGATCAGCATGACAGCGACGGCATCTTTCGAGCCGCCGCAGCCGGAGCGGTGGCTGGAGGGCACGCCTTGGAAACCGGTGCCCGTACATATGGACTGCGGCAACGGAGAAAGCCCCGCCGCGGAGCGCCTCGACTCGCAGCTTTCGCAGGCCGTGCTGGGCGCCGCCGCCGGCCTCGCGGACGCGGCGCTGCCGCTCGCGGCCCGCGCGCCGCACGTCTCGGCGCTCCTCGCACGCGCCCCGTTTGCGGGCGCCGCCGCGGAGGCGCTGCTGCAGGCGGGCGTGCGGGGCGTGGTGGACGCGTGCCAAGCGATCATGGCGGCGGGGCCCACACCCGCGGCCTTGAAGCTGCAGGCAGCTGACCTGCTGGCTGCAGTGTGTGCAGAGTCGAGGTGAGCGGGCCTCGCCGCCGCCGCCGCCGCTGCTGCTGCTGCTGCTGCTGCTGCTGCTGCTGCTACTGCTGAGCACGAATGTTCGTGCCTCTCGGAGCCCCGAGTTCCCAACCGCATTGCGGCCCACATGGGCACTCGCGACAGCTATCAATCGACATCAGTATCGACAATGCAGGCTGCGTGCTCATCGGCCCCGCCAAAACCCCCAAAAAACGGGCTAGCGTCCCCTTGACCCGCCGACCCGCCGCCTGTGTCTCCTCCCCCCTTCACACACACACACACACACACACACGCACACACGCACGCACGCGCGCATGCACGCACGCGCACAATCACTCGCACGCACACACACGCAAACACACGCACGCGCGCCCGCGCACACACAGGTGCAACCTCCTGCTGTCCCCCGCCGCGCTCGTCGACCAACTGAGGCGCGCTGCGGGGCGTGGCGAGGAGGGCGCGCGCGCGGCCGCGGCGCGCGCTCTGTGGCAGCTGGCCTGCGCCCCCGACTTCCAGACGGAGGTCGTCCGCATCGCCGGCGGCCGACTGCAGGTGCGTGCGGCTGCGCCGCTCACCCGCCGCCTTCGTCCGCACTGCCGCGGCCCCTGCCCTGGCGCGCCGCTTCCGGCTCCGGCGCCGCAACGCCCGCTGCCCCATGCCCCTCCCAGGACGCCCTGCGCTCGCGATGCCTTGTGACTCCAAAGCAAACGCGTTCCCTGCCTCCAGATCCGCGGCTGGGGCAGATCCTTTTGGCGCCAAGCGGCGTCGTTCTGATTGGCAGCTCTCTCGCTCCCAAAACCAGGTGGCGTCGCTCCTCGCGAATGACATGGGCGGCGGCAGCTCCTCGTCCGTGGCCGCGCTGCAGGCGACGCTCGGCCTCGTGTCCGGCGCCGCCGCGGACGGCGGGGCGGAGGACGTGGATGACATAGGCGCGCGCGTCGCGGAGCCCGTCTCGCGCCTGCTGGACCCCTGCCGGCCGGAGCAGGCGCGCGCGGCAGCTGCGGTGGTCTCGGCCCTCGCGCGCACGCCCTCGAACCGCGCCGCGTTTGCCGCGGCCGGCGGCTTCTCGCGCCTCGCCGGCGTGCTCGCGCCGACGCCCGGCGACGCGCGCGCCGCCGGCGCCGGCGCGGGCG